CACTCTACCCAGGGGGACAGCTTGAGGCTCTGTCTCCAAAAAAAAAAAAAAAAAAAAAATCGCAAAGACTCAAATTCAATTCCTTCTCCTCTGCATCAGATGGACAACTGAAAAATCACCTAACCAAAATATTTTCCTTTTCCTTTAATCCTAGGTTTTACCTGTGTGCATAATCTATATAGAAATGCTTGCATGAAAAAACCAGGAGATGAGGGTGATCTGTCTTATATCAGAGGCACATGTGATTTCCCTGAAGGAAAGGGAAGGAGAAGGAACAACATGACCTTATACCAGAGACCGTGCCCAGATTTCTAGTATTACTGGGAGTTTGAGAATACATATATGCAAATACATGTAATTCTTACACATAATATACATTACATATTATATAGATGCATTATGTATTATATAGATTATATAGTTTTATGTCCATTTGATAAATTTTATGTAATATATAGATTGTATAAAACTAATTTTACCCTTTATTTTTTCCTTGACATTTAGATTTATTGGGAATTAAACCCCATCAATTCTGCTGACCCCACAGGGTTAATACAAGTTGAAAGCTGGGATGTTCAGCAAATTTTATGGCTAAGTTTTAAAACAGCACGATTTCCTTTCTCTAGATGTAACAAATCTGAGACATTTTGCATTGACTTGAGTCTCTAAGGTCGGTCACCTTTTATTTTAGGTATAGAAAAGCTGGGATGTTTGGCCCAGTGAGACTTACCGGATTATATATGAGATCCATCTCTAAGTAAATAACTCCTTTAAAAGCTTGTTCTAAATCTTTATTCTTCAGTACGTAACAATTTGTTTGCCCATCTTTAATCTGTCACAAATAAAAGATAAAATACACACTGGTACACACTTTCTATGTGGCTTAAACTGCACATGCACAACCAAAATTAACTCTGGCAAAGCTGAGAAAGCAGAATAATCAAAAACGAAGCAAACGCTATGCAAATATGAAATCCTTCATAAATCAACTTTCAGTGCTAGGGTCCTGTTATAACATACTCAAAAATCCCAGCAGTCATAAGTTTTCATTTGCTCAAAAAATGATGACTCTTCTCCAAAATTCCTGGCCAATACATTTTAGGACTGTCAAGGTCATGAGGAAAAAAAAGGAAAGACCAAGAGTATTACAGATCAGAAGAGACTTAAGGAAATAAAATGCCTAAATGCGATACAGTCCTCTAGAATACATCCTGAAACAGAAAAAGGCTACTGCAGCAAAAATGGGTGAAATCCAAAGAAAGAGTAGAATAATAGTCATGTGGCAATGTCGGGATTTTTTTCAGTTTTGACAAAATAACACCATGGTAATGTGAAATAGTAACAGCAGGAGAAACTGGGTAAGAAGCGCACGGGAACTCTGTTCTCTCAGCAACTTTTCTGCAAATCTAAAATTACCCCCACCAAAAGGTTATGAAGCTATTTTAAAGACATGAATTAAGAAAAAAATGTAATAAAATGATTTGTAAGTGCCTCACTAGCCAGGAAACAATGCAAAGTAAATAATCAAATCAGTCTAGCTAAAGTTGAGGTCAGAATCCACAACTGCTCAAAATGTACCAAGTGCTCACAAATCTTCAAAGTAAACAAGTTCCTTTGAGAACCTTCTGTTGGCTGCATATCCTGTCAGCTCCGCGTACCCATCTACCTTGGACCCTAGAATTCCTGGTATCATCTTGGAAATCATCAGGCTGTGTAAGAGGCATGTTGCTTAGTTTGATTTGAACATTCTCTTTTCAAATTTGATAGCAGCCCTGCTTTCACCATACACAGGAGTAGTACATGTGTCGATTACACTTCTGGCTCTTAAGAAGCATACCCTAAAAAAAGGGCCTCAGCAAAACCTCAGTTTATCAAAAGCTCTATTTGCGATTATAACTGGGATTCAACAGTTAAATCACATAGGAAATCTGAGGGTATTAAATGGAGCCATATTTTAAATGACTATTGCTGTCACTAAAAGAATTCACACAAGTGTTCTTATAAACAGTGGTGGACATGAGTTGAATAAGTCAGGAGGGAACAGAGCAATTCCACTTTACAAGGGAGAGGTCATCTTCCTTCCCAAAGTGACCCCACCTCTCAGACTGAAAAGGTTTTATACAGAGAGATGGTTTTCCTGGCCGGTAGCTAAGAGGAAGGGGGTGCCCCATAAAGACCTGGTTTCCTTCCTAAACGGTGTCCAAACAGGATTCTCAGCATCCGCTTGGATACACAGTCTCACTTAATAAATTGTCAATGTTAAAGTTGAAAGAAATAAATACAAAACCGCCTGTCAGTTTGCCAAGCTGACTTGGGTCCAACTTAGCTTTGCGTCGACCCATAGTCATTGTACTGTTATCTTAAAATTTCCATGATTTCTTAAGGGTCAAGGAAGGTCAAGAGCAGAACAAGAGGTATCAGTATAAAGAGAAATATTTTATAGCAAAAGGATTTTTTTTTTAATTTGGTAAATGACCATTTCCTGTTTCTCAATGTCCGTAGCATGGTGTCAGCAAAACCCAGAATCCACCCAGGGACATTCAACCCGCCATCAAAACTAGAGATAAATTAAAGCTGTTCATGTTTAGCACTTTAACGGAAAACTATCTTAAAAAAAAAAAAAAATTACAAATTTTAAAAATATCAAAAACTGTAGAGATTATAGGAAAATTTGAAATCCCTTTGAAATTCCCCAAGTATCGAATCTCTTTCCTGGACCTAAATTAGATAGAAATTTAACAGGCATCCTTCCTGATTTTTTACTGAGAATTTATATTCACAAATATGGCCCTAAAAATGTATTTAAATTTTTTTGCCTTAGTGATCAACTGTATGTATTTTTCAACTTCATTTTGTATCTATCAATATGATTTGGTAATCTGTTTATGTCAGTGTATACATCTGGCTCATTTTTAATTTTTTTTAACTTTTTAATTATTTTTAATTATGGTAAAATATACATAAAATTCACCAACTTAACCCTTTTTAAGTATAGTTCAGTAGTTTTAAGTGTAGTTCAGTAGTTTTAAGTCTACTCATATTGTTGCGCAACCAATCTCTAGAATTCCAGAAATGTTTTCATCCCATAAAACTACAACTCTATATCCTTTAAACAAAAACTCCCCATTTTACTCTAACCTCAGCTCTTGGTAACCACCATTCTATTTTCTGTTTCTATGAATTTCACTGTGCTATTTTTTTAAACTTTTTAAATTAAATCACAACTGTGTACATTAATGCATTTATGAGACACAATGTGATTTTATATACAATTTGGAATGCTTACATCAAACTGGTTAGCAGAGCCTTCACCTCACTTACTGTGTTAAGACATTTATACTCTGCTCGAGAGATTTGACATGTACCCTTGCAATATGCACCACAGGTGAGGTCCCACCGATTACCTTCCCTATGCCCGACCTCCCCTCTTCCCTCCCATCCTAGGCTATAGTTGTGTTTTATCTTTCATATGAAAGTGTGGGTGGTGATATATTGGTTTCATAACAGTACATTGCATACTTTTCTTCACTGCATACCGTTTCTTCCATTCTTAAGATACTTTACTAAGAAGAATATGTTCCAGCTCCATCCATGTAAACATAAAAGAGGTAAAGTCTCCATCTATTTTTAAGGCTGCATAATATTCCATGGTGTACATACACCACAGTTTATTAATCCATTCATGGGTTGATGGGCACTTGGGCTTACTCCATGACTTGGCAATTATAAACTGGGCTGCAATAAACATTCTGATTTAAATATGTTTGTTGTAAAATGATTTTTGGTCTTCTGGATATATACCCAGTAGAGGAATAGCAGGATGGAACAGCAGGTCTACTTTTAGTTCCCTTACTGTTCTCCAAAGCTCTTTCCAAAAGGAGCTAGTTAGTTTGCATTTCCAACAGAGTGCAGAAGTGTTCCCTTCTCTCCACATCCATGCCAACATCTGTAGTTTTGGGATTTTGTGATGTGGGCTAATCTTACTGAAGTTAGATGATATCTCAAAGTGGTTTTGATTTGCATTTCTCTGATGATTAAAGATGATGAGCATTTTTTCATGTGTCTGTAGGCCGTGCACCTGTCTTCTTCAGAGAAACTTCTGTTCAAGCCTCTTGCCCACAATGAAATGAGATCGCTCGTTCTTTTCTTACTAGTTTGCGTTCTCTGTGGATTCTAATTATCAAACTTTGTCAGAAACATAACGTGCAAATATCTTCTCCCATTCTGAGGGCTGTCTGCTTGCTTTACTTACTGTGTCCTTGGCTGTGCAGAAGCTTTTTCATTTGATCAGATCCAAATAATGTATTTTTGGTGGTGCTTCAATTGCCCATGGGGTCCTCCTCATAAAATATTTTTTTAAACCACCATATAATAATGAAAATGTGAATAAACTAATAATTTATTAATTATATTGTTAAGTTTAGTTCATTCCTCTTTTCTAGTCTGTTTGCTACAAGATGTATCTTTTGGGAAAAGGGTAAGGGAAAGAAGAAACATACCAATTTGTATTTGGAAGTGAATACCTTTGAATATTAAGTGTTATAATTATTAATAACTGTAAAAAAAAAAAAGAGAGATTACTTTGTAAATTATCTTCCTTCTCTACCCTCCTTATAACTTAACTTCCAAAATAAGAATATAGGATAAAAATTTGTTCTGTTATATCCCAAACTCCTACATGAGAGCTTTTATATAAGTGAAAATGGACCATACAAATTTCATGTTTAAAACCATAATAGTATTTAGAACTTTGAAAATTATTATTAATAAAAGTTTGTTACTTTAAAGCATCTATTAAATGGTTAAGCACACACAATTAATTTAAACAAAGTAAAAAAATTTAGAGGAGAAAATCTACAGATACATCCATCGTTAGGTATGTGATAGCACTTCAATTAAAATCTGATTTGAGCTATCTGTCAGCAAAGGCAAAATGGAATGAAGATAGTTTTCAGTTCATGATAAAGGAAGACTCTGCATTCATTTGGAGAGCTTTCTGGGGCTGACCCTTGGGAGGACTTTATTTCACTCAGAGACAAGGATCTTGGATGAAACAGTAGATAATGTTTTTACTTTCAGTTTTTGCAAGATTAACTCTCCGAACTGACTGATTACACATTTTTGTGTACTTATCTTTCCATATGCAAAGATTGCATAATAGTAGGCAATGATTTGAGGAAGGCATCTCTTCAGGACAGTAAAATAAATTTAACCTAATTGGGACTATAAACACCCTCAAGCAGAAAAATGGGCATTTTCACGTCCCTTAGATTTTCAGTAACAATAAGCTATATCAAAAAGCTTTTATCAAGAGCATACTAACAGTTAATCCCTGGTTAAATTGGTGAATAAAAGAGTACAAGAAGTCTGTTTCTGAGTAATGATGCAGGATTTTAGAGCCAGAAGACAAGTTTCTGAGAAGGTAATCTGGTTTAAAATTTTTAACCTGAGCCACAATTATCCTTAAACTATTCTACTTTTTTCTGTATATAAAACAATATTGAATCTACTTAAACAGGGTTTAAGTACAATAAACTATGAGAAGCTTTTTAAAAGTTGGTTGATAAAACTCATAATCATTATATTATGATTATGAAAACTCTAATCATTATATTAGAAAATTAAACCATTTTATAATCACCATATAACAGAGGTTGGTATATGAGAACAGAGAGGAAAAAAACCTCATCTTGAACAATTTAAATAATTATTATGCTTTCCTGTAAGAATCTTTGATGTAATGAGTTGCCAACTTTTTCAATAGTAAAGTTAATCAGAATCAGTATGAAGGAATAAAACCTTTAGTTGTTTCAGAGAAGACAGATACATTTA